GTGCCCTTTGTAGTCTATGCTGACTTTGAAAGTTTTATTAAACCTATCAACACTTGTACACATAACCCAGATGAATCTTATTCAAAGCAGTACCAAAAGCATACACCTAGTTCATTTTGTTACTATATTAAATGCTTTGATGAAAAAATATATCAAAGTAAACTAGTTACATTCACTGCAAGTAATGAAGATGAAGATGTAGCACAAAAGTTTGTTAATATGCTAGAAGAAGATGTAAAAAAGATTTACAACGATTATTTAAAATTTCCAAAAAAGATATTTACTATTAAAGACAAAAATAATTTTGATAATGCAAAAATGTGTCACATTTGTGAAAAAGATCTTAAGGAAGATAGAGTACAAGATCATTGTCATATTACTGGAAAATATAGAGGTGCTGCACATAATGAGTGTAATTTACAATTTAAAATTCCAAAATTCATTCCAGTACTATTTCACAATTTATCTGGTTATGACTCTCACATGTTCATAAAGAAATTGTCAGAAGGAGGAAATATAAATTGTATACCCAACAATGAAGAAAAATATATTAGCTTTTCTAAAGAACTTAAAGTAAATGAATTTATGAATAGAGAAGGTAAAAAAGTTGAGGTTAAACTGTATCTACGTTTTCTAGATAGTTTTAAATTTATGGCTGCTAGTTTAGATAGTTTAACTAAAAATTTGTCAAAAGATCAATGTAAAAATATGAGTAGATACTATTCTGGAAATGAACTCAATTTATTGTTAAGAAAAGGTGTTTATCCTTATGAATGGGTTGACTCTATTGATAAATTAAATGAAACACAACTACCACCAAAAGAATCATTTTATTCAAGATTAAATGATGAAGGAATAAGTGATGAAGATTATTTACATGCTCAAACTGTATGGAAAGAGTTTGATTGTAAAACATTTAGAGATTACCATAATTTATATAATGAATCTGATGTATTATTACTAGCTGATGTCTTTGAGAATTTTAGAGATGTATGTATAAAAAATTATAGATTAGATCCTGCTTGGTACTATACAGCACCAGGATTAGCTTGGGATGCTGCGTTGAAAATAACAAAAATAAAATTAGAATTATTAAGTGATTATGATATGATCTTAATGATAAAAGAAAGAATAAGAGGTGGAATTAGTATGGTTTCTAACAGGTTAGGAACTGCTAATAATAAATACATGGAAAATTATGATAAAAATAAAGAATCTACATATATCCAATATTTAGATGCAAATAATTTATATGGATGGGCTATGAGCAGACCACTTCCTACACATAGGTTTGAATGGATGAGTGAAGAAGATCTAAAAAATTGGAAATATACTTCTTGTATATTAGAAGTAGATTTAGAATATCCTGAATATTTACATGATGCTCATAATGATTATCCTCTAGCTCCAGAAAGATTAAAAATAGACAAAGTTGATAAATTAATACCTAATTTAAACCATAAGAAAAATTATATCATTCACTATGAAAACTTGAAACTCTATGAAAGATTAGGAATAAAAATAACAAAAATTCATAGAGGGATAAAGTTTGAAGAAAGTGCATGGTTAAGTAAATACATCGAACTCAATACAGATCTAAGAACAAAAGCAACAAATGACTTTGAAAAAGACTTTTTTAAACTTATGAACAATTCAGTATTTGGAAAGACAATGGAGAATATTGAAAACAGAGTTGATGTAAGATTAGTTTCTAAAAGAGAAGAAGCTATTAAACTAGCATCAAAACCATATTATGAAAGTAGTACAATATTTGATGACAATTTAATTGCAATACATATGAAAAGAACAAAACTTGTATATAATAAGCCTATTTACTTAGGTATGTGCATTTTAGATTTAAGTAAGACTTTAATGTATGAGTTTCATTATGATTACATGAAAAATAAATATGGAGATAAAGCTAAACTGTTATACACAGACACAGATTCATTAATCTATGAAATAAAAACAGAAGATTTTTATAAAGATATTTCTAATGATATTGAAAGTAAATTTGATACCAGTGAATTTTGTAGGTGTAAATAAGAAAGTAATAGGAATGTTTAAAGATGAGTCAGCAGGAAAACAAATTACAGAATTTATAGGACTCAGATCAAAATTGTATTCTTACAAAATAGATGAAGAAGATAAAAAGAGATGTAAAGGAGTAAAGAGAAATGTAGTTAAAAATTATATAACTCATGAAGATTATAAAGACTGCCTGCTTAGCAGGAGAGATCAAATGAGAAAAATGAATGTTATAAGATCACATTTACATGATGTTTATACAGAAGAAATAAACAAAATAGCACTCAGTGCAGAAGATGATAAAAGATTTATTTTAGAAGATGGTAAACATACATTAGCATACGGACATTATAAATTAAAATAAACAGGCAGGTAAGTGATTTTTTTATTTAAAAAATCTAAAACTATTAATAAAAATGGACAAGCATATCAATGTTGAAGGAATCATATTACCAAATGAACCCTTAACAAACTTTCAGTTAATCAAAGCAGCAAAAAAATTAAAAATAAAAAATTTTAGAGGTGTATTTGTAAGAGATGAATTACCTAAAAATGCACAAAACAAAGAATGTGGAATAATAAACACAGGAGATTCAAGTACAAATGGATTTCATTGGATTTGTTGGTATAAAGACAGAGATGTGAAATATAGTTTTGACTCTTATGCACTACAACCTCCAGTTGAACTTGTTCAATATTTAAAAAGTCCTGTTTATTATAATAGTGAACGAGTTCAGTTTGGAGACACTTCATTTTGCGGACACTTGTGTCTCTATGTTTTAAAAAAACTAAATGAAGGAAATGATTTTCAAAGTATTATCAATACACTTTGGTAAAAAAAATAATGAGTATATAAAATGAGTGTTGATATATTCGGTAATTCAGTTTTCGGATTAACTGCTTCTAGTCAATCTGAAAATTTAAATCTTAATATTAATATAGATAATAGAGCAACTTCTGACATGGATTTAAATATGCATAAATTAATTAATGTATTAGATCCTACAAATCCTCAAGATGCTGCTACAAAAGATTATGTTGATAATAAACAACTTTCTAGTAATTTGTATCTAAGAACTGATGGACAGAATCGTGCAACTGGTAACATTGATTTAAATACACATAAATTAGTTAATGTAGATGAACCAACTAGCCCTCAAGATGCTGCTACAAAGAGCTATGTTGATAATAAACAACTTTCTAGTAATTTGTATCTAAGAACTGATGGACAGAATCGTGCAACTGGTAACATTGATTTAAATACAAATAAACTCATCAATGTTGCAGATTCTACTGATCTTCAAAATGCAGCTACAAAAAAATATGTTGATACAACATATGAATTTGTTACAAATTATATAGAAAGAATTATTCCTTATCCTCGTAAATATAAAGTTCTAATTGTAGCTGGACAATCAAATACTTATTATGGTAGAGAATGGGGTCATTCTGAAGCAATAACTACTGTAAATTATATGCATAGACGAATAGTACAGTTTGCAATGAATAATGGACAAAATGATGTGTTACTTCCTTGTTCTCTTAGACTAGAAGTAAATGAATCAGATAATATGTGTTATTCTGGATACGGTTCAATACTAGCCGGTTTAATAATGCAAGATTCTTTAGGTGCTAATACTTTAAACATTGTTAATTCAGATGAATGTTTAATGATACTTCCATGTATGTTAGGTGGAAGAGGCTTTAGCGATGATTATTTTATGCCATATGGTACTGGATTTAGAAATTTAACTCGTAGAATTAGATATATTTTATCACATTATAACGCAGAATTTTGTGGCATAACTTAGAGTCAAGGAGAAAATGATTCTATAGATGGTTGGAATTTTAGTTATAGACATATTCTTGTAAATTTTATTCAAACCATAAGAGATTATATAGGGTATTCATCTAATCAGTTCTACACATTAACAAATTCCCAAGCAAAATCGAATACAATTCCATTCGTTACTTTTCAATTGATACCTGGATGGGTTTCAGCTAATTCAGCAAGAGCAACACCAGTTCAAAATGCGCTATCAACTATTGGAGAATATATTCCACACACTGCAAGCATATCTATTACTAATCTTCCACCTTCTATGAGAACTACAAACGTTGACACCGTACATTACGACTCACGTCAACAAATTTTTTTAGCTCAACAATTTTATAATGCATTAATTACAGCTAAAAATAATTCATATGCTAACAGTATTTATATACCAGGAGAAACGCTACTTGTTAGGCAAGTGGTAACAGATTTATTTCCAAATAACTATTATGGAGCATATAATCATGATAGTCCTAATCAAACTACAGCTACAAAATATAGTCAGTTATCTAATAACTATTTTTATAAAAACAAAGATGGATATTATAAATATCGCTTAAGATATAAAATTAATGGTGAATGGAAAAGTATTATATTTAAACAAGCATTCCTCCCAATGATGTCTATGCATTATCAAAATATTGCACAACTCATATCAACTGAAACACCATTCGGTAATACAAATTCAGGACAAGGATTTTGTGGATTAAATTTAACAACTACAAAAAACTTTATGAATTTAGGAGCAGTACTTACACTAGATACAAGTAATGGTTATTGGGCACCTGTATGTACAAATAATATTTTTACAGTTGGATCTACCAATGTTATTCCTGTATATAATAATTACATTGAAAATAATTCAGCCACTTTAATAACTGCAACTGAACTAGAATTATATGCTATAAGAGACCTATAGAATATTGTTACTACTACGCTTAGAACTCGAAGAGATCCAGATTATATTAAGAAATTAAACGCATGCGCATTAAAACAAGAAAAATAAGTTAAATAATTTTCTTGTGTATATAAAAAAGAATGAATCTAGAAAATAATATTGAGAATAATAATTTTTTAATAAAAAACATAATTGAACCTTCATCTCAAATATATTATATTACTACAATATTAAAAAACTATGGGTATAAAAAAGGTAATAAGGCTGATTTTGCTGTAAGTATAGGTAAACTTGATTTAATTAAATTATTAATTCAATTAGGTGAAAAAAGTACAAAAGATGTACTAAAATATTTACATTCAATAGGATATAGAGGAGAAGAATGGACAATTACTTGTGCTGCAAAAAATGGTTATCTTGATGTAGTAAAATATTTACATGAATTAGGATATAGAGGAAAAGAATGGACAATTACTTGTGCTGCAGAAAATGGTCATCTTGAAGTAGTAAAATATTTACATTCTATTGGATATAGAGTAGAAGAATGGACAATTAATTATGCTGCAGAAAATGGTCATCTTGAAGTAGTAAAATATTTACATTCTATTGGATATAGAGTAGAAGAATGGACAGTTACTTGTGCTGCAGAAAATGGTCACCTTGAAGTAGTAAAATATTTACATTCTATTGGATATAGAGTAGAAGAATGGACAGTTACTTGTGCTGCAGAAAATGGTCACCTTGAAGTAGTAAAGTATTTACATTCTATTGGATATAAATAAGAAGCAAGAAAAAAAATTGAAAATAAATTTCTTTACATAAATTATAAAAAATTGATTGTGCAAGTAAAGATGTAGATATTAAATTAGGAAGTTATAAAAGAAGATTAAGTTTAGCTCGTTATTTGCAAAATAAATTTAAATTACAATATGAAAAGTTAGAAAAGGAAAGATTAGAAGAAGAAAAGTTAAAAACACCAGATAATATTTATTATTAGAAAAAGTCATGTGACGTCACAGCAAGAAAATCACGTGACCTGTGACGTCATTTTTCGACAAGAAATAAAAAATTAACACTTATTTTAAAAAAATTCAATTTTTTCAAATTTATATAAATTTGAAAAATTATTTCTTATATAATTAATTATTCACATCATGGTTAGAAATGAACCCTATATTTTTTAAAATATATGGTTGAAAATATGGTTAAAAATGAAAATGGCCCAGAACCGGCAATCTCTTACTACTATCGGTTAGAAAAAAGGTGTGAATTTTAAATTAAATGCTTATCAGCGGTCCTCTTTGATAAGACGCTGAGGACTTCTTGGGGCACCAGAATAAAATTAGAAGAAAAAATTAACAATGCAATTTGTTAACTTGTCTTTCTATTTTTCTCCAAAATGCTGCATCTAATGTAGTATGCCGAGGCCTTTTTTCACTGCTCCTTTGCATTGGTGGTTTGATGGCATCAACAGCGTGAATCGTAAGTTTTTTTATTTTTTTTAATTTTAATTCACAACCCCAAAAAAAGTTGTATATTTTTTTTAATTTCAATTCACAACACAAATGGCATCAACAGCGAGATTCGTAAGTTTTTTTTATATGTTTTTTTTTAATTTCAATTCTATAACTCAAAAAAAGAAACATTTAAAAGCCTCTGCGCAAAAAACAATTTGAACGCGATACTACAAGAGACGTGGTTAATATTGAACATGGAACTTAGTGCTTATGAAGCGAGCGCTCTACAACCATTACCGCAGGAAGCAATACTTCAGACTTAAAATGTTTAAAATCTAATTTTATAATCAATTTCTTCAACTCATTAAAACTTTTCATCAAATTTATTTGTTTTTTGTTGTTTCAACGACAAAAGTTGCAAAATGATTTAGTTATTTTGTTATTTTATTATTTTAAGTTTTAAATGGATTATTGCATAATTTAAAAACAATATAAAATAAACAAGCAATACTATAAACAAACACAATAATATATTTACTATAATATGTAATAATCATTTAACATAATAATAACAAGCACAAATAAACAAAAAATATATAAAGAGAAATAAAAATATTTACTGGCAAATTTATAATAAAAAAAAAAAAAAAGGTAAAGTTTGTTAAGCTAATAAAAAACCAAGTAGCTGAAACTTATCGCTAACTCTTGCTGAAGCAAATGAATATAGTTTTTTACCTTAATAAAAATTGGAAATGAAACCTTTAATTTAAATTTAATAGTCTAATATACTAAAGATTGACAGGTCTGTTTTGAAATGATTTTTGTGTAGACCTGTCAATCTTTAATTTACCGAACTATTAAATTGAAATTAAATACTTTTTTCCTAAGTTTTGGTTCGGTTAAAGATTATACTTTTCACAAATTTTTTGCTAATTTTTATTCTGTTAATATCTGATATTTTTTGCTTTTGCGATTGTTCTCTAAAGCACACAAATATGCTAATATTGGTCAAAATGGGTATGACGCTTATCCCAAGTAGCTAATAGCCTATTAATAAAAATAGCATTAGTTATATAGTACTTTTGTAAGACATTGTTAATCCTATTTAAACATATTGCTTGATCGATATACTATTTAATGTAATAATAAATTATCGGTATTTTTAAGTTCAATATTTATTCTTTCTTCTGTTCTATCTTTATTAACTATTATAATATCTTTTATATATTCAATGAAAGCATTTGTAAGTGAATTTAAGCAGTAATTTGTATAATGTCTTTTTCATATTCTTTGTTTTTTCATTTTTTTTCGTTCGACTTTGAAAACCAAAAAGATTTTACTTAAATATTATTTTTTTAAATAAAAGATTGAAATATCTTTTATACTAACAGAGAACAACCCGTAATACGGGTTGTGGTTGGTCTGTTACATAGTTAATTTATAGTCACTGTTTTCCACAATTTAATGTTGCAAAACTTTAACTTATACCCTTTTAGAAAAACGCCTTCAAATTAAAAAAATTAAATAAAAAGTATGAGGTAAAATAAGTTACCAATTATTATTTAACATTATTTAAGTAATTTACAACTGACATTGGTCATATCAGCGTAAGGAAAAACCATTTTCATGGACATTTTTTAATCCAACACATGTTTTTAATTATTGACAATCCTTGCAGTATTTTTTAAATATGAACTTTAATTAATTATTAAGATTAACTTATATTAAACAGGAGTTATTAATTTTTCTTTAAAAAAAAAAGTTGTTATCTTAAAAACGTTAAATGCACACAACTAAATAAATTTATAAAAATAACTAAGTTTATTATAACTAAGCAATTGAGTACATATACGTTTCAAACAAAAAAAATTACAATCTAACATGTGTATAACATTATAAAATTTAAAATCAAACATGTGTATAACAAATTTAAAAAAGTCATTTTTGATCTTTTAAATTGCTTTAATGCGTTATATGACAAATCTAAAATAAAAATTGTAACAGTTATGTAGACATAAAAGAAAAAAAAAAGAAAAAAAAAATTACTGGAAACCAATTTACCTGCTTTTGATAACCTGTTGTCATACTTCAGTTGCTGTCATGATACAGCAGTTCTTGTCAGTGTTGTATAATGACGTTATTTCATGTTGGCTTTTAGTAAACTTTAGTTTAATTTAAAAGATATCACAATAGATTTAAAATATATAAATTAAAAAGCATAATACAAAATGCTTCAAGGAGCCAAACTAGAAACATCAAAGATAAAAAATCAAATTGAGATATAAATATATTGATTAAAATTGCTAAATATATTGTCTTGGTTTAAAAAAAATTTTAAAAGCAGTGAGTTAAATAAATTAAACTATGAATTAATTATTTTTAACAATAGAATGTAGCATCATTATATTATGATAATGAATCAAATTAAATTTAAAGTTTAATTGTTGAAAAAACAATTTAAATTTTAATTAAAAAAAACGACAAATCAATTATACAATATTAAAAAAAAAACAAACTACAAATTATGAAAAAAAATTTATAATCTGATATAGTATTACTTCTTGCTATACAATTCATTCCTTCATATCTAGCAGCATATCTAGCATTTTGTTGATTATTAATTTTATCTAGCCTAAGCCTATTTCTTTTATTTCTGTGACGATTATTTTCAACTTGCCTATTTATACTCTCCTCATTTGGCTTCAAACTATTTGCTGCTTGCCGAGAAGCATACCTAGCATTTTGTCGATTATTATTTTTATCTCGCCTAAGCCCATCTCTTTGATTTCTGCGACTATTAATTTGCCCATTAACATTTCCATTTTCTAAACAAATATCTGCTTCTAGCCTAATATCATCAACAATTTAAACTTCACTTTTAATTGAAAATGTTTACAAGAAATCTTAAAAGGAAACTTAAGGATTGTGATCTTTTCTATATATTTTTTTTCTACTCAAAATAGCACACACAAAAAAATTTTAGAAATAAGAAACTGTCTACAAAACTTAACAATACTTTGTTCTTCTATACCACATAAATACATCATTTGATAAATCTAAAATAAAAAATTTAACAAATAATTAAAAAAAATAAGAAAAGTATTACATACAAAAAAAACGGAAATCATTGTACCTGATAGAGAAAAGCTGTTGTGATTTACCAGAGTGGTAGTAGTAGGCTTTTAGTGAATATATATAATACAGAGTAGTAGGATTTTAGTGAATGATTAAAAGCAGTGAGGTCTAATAATGAAATTACCTATAGATCACTTTTAACAAAAGGAAACAACTTTAAGGCAAGCTAAATGTATATCAACTCAAAAGATTACAAAAAAACAACATCACAACAACAATAGCATTCACCATAAGTTCATATAATATGCATTTAAAACAACTTAAGAAACATAACATTCATATATAACAGAACATAAGTAACAACATTACGTAAAATGTTATTAAAATACACGATGATGTATTTTCAGAGTAATTATTCATAAAGGCTTGAAAACAATAGACCTAAAGCAGTAACAGTTTGACACAAAGCACTGCTTTGTAACCCTCTGCAGTAAGTAAATGACAATTTTTGCTTTACACGTTTACCAAGTCACAGCACTTATAAAACATAGAAATAACACAATATAAACATATAATCCCAACCCAACTATAAATACAATACATATATATATACATATATATATATATATATATATATATATATATATATATATATATATATATATATATATATATATATATATATATATATATATATATATATATATATATATATATATATATATATATATAATCTTACATAAACATATTTAAACATATTTAAACACATTTATAAAATTATATAACTTATATTAACACATACACAAGCAATAAAAAAACATGTTACATTATTATAAAAACACATTGATAAAAAAGCTATAAAGCACATTTTACAATATACACATAATTATCAAAAAAGAAATGCAAACAATAAACATATAACTTGAATTGTGCAAACAAAAGTTTTAAAAATGGCATGAGAAAATTTTAAAAGATTCAAAATAAACAAAATATAAATATTTATATACAAACAATACTCTTTACCTTTTTTTTTTCATAAAAACTGTAATTCTCATAAGAAAAATTTGATTTTTACATACAATAATATGTGACATACGTGGCACGAAATTTTAAATTCATTTTTCTAAATTTTTACAAAAAGAGCAAAATCAGTTGATAGCATCACAGAAATTCATGGTAGTAATAACCAATTTTATTGAAATAGCATAACTTTTTTGTTGCATAAAAAATAATTAGACCTCATCCTTACC